TTTGGATATTTTACCTGCAACCTGTAGTAAGTACATGTGCAAGTGAGGCTTGGTCTTTGTATGTAGTCTGGAATGTAGAATTACACCGAGATATGAATAGTAGGAAAATGTCATAAAATTTTAAGTTATGATGTTATTGTACGAGGCCGTATTCAGAGCAATTTATTTAACCTCTGTCGATATTTTCTATTGTTTGCTAGAACTTCACGAAACGACGTCTTCACAGGCATAGTATACAACAATTTTGCCATTAGAATGTATCTGCCGCATGCCAACTCTTCAGGCTGTTGAACGATGAAGGCTGACCCGTCTTCGTTCCATGTGATGACGTCATCCTGATACGTCTTGCTTTGGAACTGCTTTAATCGCTGCCCCTCAGTCGATGGAGATCATTACATTTCTACTAGAATACTATATAAACAGAAATATCTGTTTTGTTATTCAATCTCCTTGTGGTCGCCGACGCTCTTTTCAAATTATAGCACGCATGCTTTGATTGAAGGGCTCTACAAGCTCATATTCATTGGAGATTATCATATATTGTAATGATTATCAAATATTATTACAATATTCTTCATTTTATTTCTGGACCCCAAAGCTAAAACTCAACACCGCGGAGGGGGATGTCGCCATCGGCACCGTCTCCGTACGCCCCGATCACATTTGTACGATAATCTTTAAGGGGGTGTTTGTTTCACATTTTTTTTTGGATATAGGGTGGATTTCAAGTTTTGGGATGTAAAAAGTGCTTTTTTTGAGTTTTGGTATTCCTTAAACTTTGTTTGTTTCACTTTTTTTTTGGGATGTTGAATCCCTAAATTATAAAAAAATAATATATTTTTAGGATTTGTGAAATCATCTCTTTTGTTTCAACTTTTTTTTGGGATATAAGGTGGATTACAAGTTTTTTGGGTTTTAGAATTCCATAAACCATGTTTGTTTCAAAACCAATTTTGGGATATTGAATCCCCAAATAATAAAAAACTATTATATTTTAGAATTTGTGAAATCCTACAATTGAGAGAGGATGTAGGTTGGATATTGATGTATTAATGCTTATAATATAAGATTAATATAAGATTAATATATTAAATATAACATTATAATAATATAATATTTAATATAATACATCTATTCCTCTATAATTATAGGAGGACCCAAAAATCACTGTTCATGTTTTGTTATTCATATTTTTTTATTGTCAATCACCTCATGGTGGTCAACACTTTGCTATCTTATTTTATGTCCATCTAGAAAGCGTGACTGGCTTTTGCTAGTAACAAAAGGGGGCAGAAGTGTTTGGACAAAATTGACATTATTGAAAAGTTTTTTGTGCGTGTTGCATTGCATGTGAATGTTCTTGTTGCTTGGTTTGATGTAATATTGTAGGGGGAGCTTAGACTGCGTTTTTGTTTCATATGTGCATATATCTAGGGGGAGCATGCATATCACTATATGATTATCATGAAACTGATTTTATGGCACTTCTGCTGTATCTCAAACTTATTGTACTCGAAATTTTTCGATATGTTATAATCAAAGGGGAGAAATTGTTAGGATATTGTTCATACAATTTCTTTTGTTTGAATAATAACAAACATGTATTGGTGACTAATTTTTGTTTGAGTTGACCTGTGTAGGTTATATAAGATAGAATCAATATTGAGTTCAAATGCAATGAAAGTCAGCTGAGAATGATGATTCTGCAAGTAGACTCATCGATGAGCACCATGCTAATTGATGAGCAAATGGTCGTCAATGAGCATTAGTCCTTATCAATGAATCTGCTACTGAATCCTTTAATTTCTCACCGCTCCATTGATGAAGAATTTTACAGAGTCTTGACCCATCCATGAGCACATTACCCATCGGTATATAAAGTTTTGGTCATCGATTTGAAACCCCTCATCGATGTAAATTTTGTCCATCGATGAGCCATTGACTAATTGATGAGCACATTTCTCATCAATGAGGAAGTGGCCCATTTATAGGCATGGATCAATTTGCAGCTTTTTGAGATCTAATCACAGTCATTCGTTGCAGCTGTTATGCCCTCTCTCCTATCTCACTTTTTCATTGACACCCTAACCTAATTGAGATAGAAAGAAGAGAGAGAGAGAGAGAAAAGTTATGATTTGAAGATTAGAGTTAGTTCATCATCTGGATCATCAAATAGTCTTCTTGATCACGTAGTTATCATGTTATTCATCTTTAGATCCATATCTGTCGATGGGTGCTACACTAGGATCATTGCCTTCGCCTCTATTCCTTTAGATCCGGATCTTAAAGTTTTCAAAGAATGATTTAATTAGTAAAGGGCTATAAGATCTTTTTTATTTACGCTTTAATAAATATATGTGATTGTAAACAATACTCTTTTCTAGGATCATTTGATCAAGTTTACAACATACTCAACCCGCAGATAATTGAGGGTAAGGTTTACTAGCAAAGAGCTGGGGTACACAGTTATATGATAGGATTTATTTGGGTGTAGATGACTAGATTAGGGTATAATCTAGGAACTGTCTTCCAAAACCTCCTGGATTAGGGCTTATAATCTAGAAGAATATTTATCATAGTGTAGCAATCCGGCCTTCGGAGAAAGAGTGTTGGGATAAATTTTCTAACCATTATTAAAAATTCTGTCTCATGTCTTGCTAGTTCTCTTTATTATCTTTGTTTCTTGTTTCTAGTTGCAATATTTACTTAATTATTTATTTAATTTCCTACAATATTCATTAATTAACAACAACTTTTATATTGATTGAAAAGTGTAGCAACCCTAGAACTCCTGCACCCCCCCCTCCCCACCCTACCCCAAAAAAAATAAAAGGCTTGCATCTCAAATCCCAATATAGGGTATTGGAAAGAAAAAGAGCCTCTTTTTGATGTCATCTTAACACCAAGATCTGATGCTACTAATTTGTTGGAAGGTGATGGGCATTCTCACTAACACACAAACAAGAAAAACATGAAAGAGAAAGTCACCAAGAGGATTTTACTTTAATTCGAATGATTTGAATAAACTTAATAATTACATAGGTATTTATACTATCCCAAAGAAGACAAGACTCCGTGCATTAAAAACAAAAGACTCCATGCACCTTCGATAACTAAGTTCATGAAACTAAATTTTTGGGTAAGCTAAACAATCTCCACTTAAATGTAGATAAACAACCTCTATAAGACTCCCAATAATAAAAAGTTTGATTTTCTGGAAACTAGATAGATATGGATTTCTAATGAATCCTCATTCATTTAATTTGATGTATAACCAGTTAAAAGTCATCTCAAATTCGCTGTTTAAACACAAGCATAAACTTCATGTTTAGTATCCAACATCACACCATTGGACCAGAAATCCATGTATTCTTCCCTAAGTTCTTCTTCTTCCTCATCATTTCCTAGGTTAGGGCACACGTTAGCAAATTGTCATTAGTGTGCAACTCAGGAGAGAATTGCCACCTGATCATTCTAAAATTGAATGTAATTAAAAAATGAAGATGATGTTGGATAGCATGTTCCTAATATGTTTCCTAATTTGTTTTGGTAATAAGTTATTGGGATTCCTAATCTGTTTTGGTAACAGTATTCTAAATCTGTTTTGGTAACATGTTATTAGGATTCCTAATCTGTTTTGTTTTTTTAGAATTCCTAGTATGTTTTTGGTTTTAGGATTTCTATATATATGGAACGATTGGAAGAGAGAATTGAGCAGCGAATTGGGGATATTTGGAGCACAAAAAAGAGATATTTTCTAAGCTATTGTTTAGGGTTTTATTTGGAGAGAATTAGAGATTTGTTGGTGAGATTGATTAGTGAGTTCGAGTGATTTGTAATATCAGTTTGTACTCTTTTTCTCTATTAGTAAAAACCTCATCCCCTTCTTGCCCCGTGGACGTAGGGAACTTGCCGAACCATGTTAAAATTGGTTGTTTGTATTCGTATCGTTATTTTGAATTCTTTGTCCTTCTCTCTCGGCGATTGGTTTGGTTTCTTGAAGCATATCGGTTTGGTTTGGTTTCCACCGCGCACAACAAGTGGTATCAGGGCTCGGCCTACGCTTGGGCTATTTAGAGTAGATCGTTTTGGAGGCTCGTCTAGGACTTCGTTTGGTGATAAATGTGAGATCTTTTTGGTAAAGACTCTATCTTTTCTAATTTTGGATCTATTCTTTGTTTGTTCCGCTTTGGTTTGTTGGTGCTTTGAAAAAGATGGTCGAGAAAGAAGGAGTTGTGGATGGTACTTCCGTCGTGAAGACTATCCAAAGTTTGAATATCCACTCTATGAAAATAGATGTGAAGAAGTTTAATGACACAAACAATTTTGGTCTTTGGAGATGTGAAGTCTTGGATGCGCTCAATGCGTAAAATTTGGAGGATACTTTGAAGTTAGACGGGAAATCGGATGACATTGAGGAGAAGGTTTGGACAAAGATGAATCAAACGGCGTATGGTATGATTAGATATTGTTTAACTCAAGATTTAAAATATGATGTGATCAATGAGACTTCGGCTAAGAAGATTTGAGAGATCCTAGAGGACAAGTATTTGACAAAGAGTGTAGAAAACCGCTTGTATTTGAAGAAGAGGCTTTATCGCTTCCAATTGAACAAAGGAACCTCCATTGGTGATCACATGAACCATTACACGAAGCTTCTTGCGGATTTGACGAATGTAGATGTGATGATGGAAGATGAGGAAAAAGCGTTGTTATTATTGAGTTCCTTGCCCGACGAGGAATATGAGATCTTTATTCTTACTCTTATTAATGGGAAGATATCTCTTTCGTATAGTGAGGTCACCGCTGTACTTGTGAATTATCAGCTTTAAAAGAAGGATAATGAGACTTTAGTTGAGTCGGTAGCGGGAGCATTGGTCGCGAGAGTAAAGAGTCCAAACCGTGGTAGGAGATCATAGTCTAGAGGGGCATATCATGGAGTTCGTAGGAATCAGTGTGCCTTTTGTAAAGAGGATGGACAT